TTCCAAAAATATATTTTGCATATCATTTTTTCTAAAAGAATATTTGATTTTTCAGCCATTTGCAATCCTCCATGTTTGAATGGAGGGAATTGCTCTCTAATAAGAAAGTGTGAATGTCCGAGTACCTATCGTGGACCTGACTGCAATACACGTACGTATTTATATCATACAAACTATAATATTAGAATGATCCATACAATAACATTATATATATGTCACTTGCATTGCCTGACACGGCTAATACTTAAAAAATGCTTCATGATTACAGCTGTTTGCTATCCACAATGTCAAAACGGTGGTACATGCATTTACCCCGACACGTGTTCATGCAGGAAGGCTTATACAGGAAAGCATTGCGAAACACGTAAGTTTTTTTATGTATAAAAAAATCTTTTCTTTGCACATTCATTTTTTAAATTCTACAAATAATAAAAAATAATAATACAGTAATATGATGATAGTGTTTTACAAATGCTAAAAAACTTCTTATGATAAGTTTGTAACTAAGCACTATTCAGAGCACCTATAAAATGGCAATTGTGTTTAATTATAACGATACTCTATCATAATTCTTTTTTTAAGCCGAATGTTCTTACCATTCCCCTTGTTTTCCTGGGACATGCAATGATTCTGTAAAGTGTCAGTGCTACGAAGGGTTTTCTGGTCAGAATGGATTACATCGCTGCAAAACAAGTAGGGCATTTAACAATGTGTAGATATTTTTGGGATGAGGTCTAGTAAACAGTCCTTTCGTTGTAACGAAGAAAGAAAATGAAGTAGATTATGATGAATAATGGAATTTGTTGTTGAATTCTACTCTAAGAATTTGTTATTTTTCTTTGTTAAGGGTGTTAAATTTTACGCAAGACTCTTGGTATTCCTTTTTCTTTAAACTAATTTTGCGTTGCGTTTTTATGAAAACTTTAAGGACCTGCAAAATAACATGAATCATATTTTTTTCTCTTTTGATGACGTCGCTCCCGGTCTAAAATATTTTTTATGAGTCAGTTTGTTTTAGGATTTTTCATAATTGATTTCAGAAAGAGCCATGAAACTGAAGCATGATAAAATTGCAACAGGTGTTTGTTTTTCTCTTAAATACTGCGCGTGGATTCTGGGTATTGTCAGAAAAAAAAGAATGTGGGAAATTCCAAGTTTTTAAATAATTCTTGTTTTATATCTCTTGATCCGTAAATAGTTTTTTTTTTTTTTAAAAGAAGAACAAAATTACAAAATCATTCACCTGATATCTACAAAAAGGGACTGGGGTCCGTTTAACAAAATGACTTACTACTTAAGACCAAATTTAATTCTTCTTATAACTTTTTAAAATTAAAATTATATCGAAAATTATATTTAACTTTTTAAAACGAACGTGATAAGATATTTTTACACAAACATTTTCAAAGATTATTAATTTTGCAAACTTTTACAATAACTTGAAGTTTTGGTATAAGTCGTAAAGTCTTCTGTAAATCAGGCCTCCGGCCCCTAACAATTTGGATATAGAGGGACGGAAAGTGTTTTTTCTTTATATTTAAAGAACGATCTCACACATGTATCCTATAAAATCAAATAAAATTGAATACCTACTTCAATTGTTCATTTTCAACGAGATCGTCTAGTAATTATTATCATTTTTTGCCAAAGGTATCATGTCCGTTTTTTTGACCCAAAAGTGAAAACACTGAGGTTCCATGCGTATTATTATGTAAAACTACATTAAATAGTCCTTGGCTGACCAAGTTTGAAATGTAGTAGAGATATATCAATTGACCTAAACCACGTACCTGTGATTAAATGTAAACCAGCAAGTGTTGAGGATCTGTCATTTGGATTGGACAATTGTTCTTGGTGAGCGACTTTGTGCGAAAAACTGTTTACAAGGAAATTTTCGCCCCTTTCACCTTATCCTCTGTGGGCAATTTTAAAACTGGACGAATTTAAAGCATAAAGTATAATTTCTAAAACAAAACTACTACTGGGCGAATTTAAAACAAGGCCAAATTGTTTTAAAGTGTGAAAGGGCGAAAATGGCACGGAGTAAAATAACCCTGTATACAGTAATACATGTAACAGTAACCATATAAGGAATATTCACCGGATATACATATTCCTCTATTGCACTAAAACCCGCCTTTTATCCTTTCATGAAAAAAAAAAACATATTGTAACAAACCAGACCGGCTGTCAGAGGGTCTAAAAATACCAAAAGATAATGTGGGGATTTTTAAAATTAAAATGTGTCGGAAGTATTTGAAAGAAGGATATGGAGATAACGAACAGTATACAGTCTCAAAGTCAATTAAACAATATACAAAATAAGAGCAGAGCAAACACAGACCTCCGAAACATCGAGGTGGGATCAGGTGCCATGGAGTAGTGAGCATCCCCTGCCGACCGGTCACACCCGCCGTGTGCTCGTTGTCATGATCAGGAAATGACGGAAAAAATCCGTTGTCAATTCAGTGTATAAATAATGGACTAACAATTGGTATGAAAAACGTCAGTCAGCATTTGACTCAATGATAAATCGTATTTGCTGACAAGGTCATTGTATCGACCATAGAACTTACGAAATGATGACTTTAAACGAGACTGCTGATATTCTTGTTTCATGAACTTACTTGTCAATAACTTACCTCGTTTAAGAAATTGTTCATATGTAATCGATGTAGCTTAAATAAATACAATACATCGTAAAAAAAGGGGCACAAGATAGCATCTATGACACATCATCCTTTTTTATCAAATAAACATCAAATATTTGGGGTACTTACCACAAACAAAAAATGGATGCGCGGGTTGATATATATTTTTTGACTGATTTTGATTTGTATTGTTATAAATAATAAATCCCTGAAATGTAAAGAAGTCGTAGGTTTACCTTGGTGCTTAGATTTGAGATTTTATTTTGCATTCTATATAATTCCATACAAAATTTTGCACAATTTTTTTAACTTTATGACAAAATCTTATAAAATTCTCCCACTCTAATTGGTAAACATTATTCAGGTTGTCAATTTAAATGTAAATCTATGAGAAATAATGCTGATTTCTGAAAAAAAGTTTGTGTTATTTATCCTTAATAAGTGGCACGATATCAGTATCTTATAAATATAAACTCACTCCAAAGTAAGTGAAAAATCTTTCCTAAAAAAAAACAACTACATGTATCATACAGGATAATCTATGCCAAAAAAAAAGAAATAAAAATTACATTCCTTGTATTTAGATATGTAGTTTAATCATCCCTCAAAATGTTGCAATATAATCAAACCAGTCAAAAATATTATCTTTTAACAGTGACTTCAAGAAGAAGCCCAACAATTACTCGATGTACTTCTATTCTTGCCAATATTGAAAGAACTGGACTGAAGAGAGAACTCTATCGCTTTATAACGGATTCATCCGAACCAAACACTACTAGAGTAGATACAATGTGGCTCAATCAAAAGGATTACAATTACATCAACGTGGTTTTTTCAGCATTCTATAATGAACCAGAAAACCTGGCAGTTCCAAATTATATTACAAACTTTAAGTTTGGAATCGTTGCCGGAAAAATACAAATAACCCTACAAAAAGAGGGCAGGAATGGTAAAATAATATAGTAATATAATTTATATATTACATGCCAAGAAATCCCGTCCATTTTTCTAAACCCATGAAGTCAATAATATTGCTACATTACATCATTTTTTTGAAACATTAATATTTTTTTCTTTCAAATTAAAATATTTACATTCCAAATCAGGTAAGCTTTACCCGTTTAGTACTATTCTCCATCTTATCTACAAACGAAATGATGTAAACTTCCGGAAATTTGAAACCCTTTTCTATATAATTTGTTGCAATACTTCCATAACTACCAAGTTCTTCGAACCCGATGTTCATTTTTAGAAAAAAATATTTTGATATGGAAATACCTTAAAAAAAAATCGAAAGGTTCGTTATTTTTACTGTAAAACTACTTTATAAAAATTAATTTCATTTTCTTTATCATTTTTTTTTTAACAACATTTAATTTAGATTGGCATCCCCCCCCCCCCCCAAAAAAAAAATAAATAAATAAACGGGTGGGGGATGTAAACGCTTCTAGATAATTAGTATTCAACCTATAATTCAAACCAGTAAAATTTAGGATCCCTACCTCAAAACTGAGGACATTAATTGCATCGCACACATCTCCCTGGGTAAGAATAACATATAAACATTAATTCTGCTTTGACGGAGATCGTTCTACGGATAGAATATATGTTTTGTTGGCATGAACCCTGCTGTTAATTATAAGTATTGAACTATTGCGACGAGCACTGATTTTTACAGTTGACTTTATTCTTCGACATTGTCATGTGTCATGTATGGAGGTACAGAATTGGTAATAGATAAGAAATATGGTGTTTCGGGCACAAGCATGTAAAGGTTGGTATTTGAGGGTAAGGTAGTCATCAGGAGTTTCATTCATATAGGTGCATTAGTTTTGCCAGTTATTTTCGTTCATCAAAATATAAAACTAAATGTTTTTATCGCGAAAGAGCTTCCGTATATCGTCAAAGTGTAAAGGTAAGCCGTACACTGTTTAAATTAGCGCTCTTCGCAAAAGTCCAATATTAGTCTTCTGCTTTGACGAATTTAATTTAAAAAAAAGAATTTTGTTTTTGATTTAGTAGAAGCAGTATTCACAAGAAAATGAAATTGAGTTAAAGTAAGAACGAAATGAAACATTAGGGAAATTCATTTATATGCAATTTTTTTTCTATTTTCTTTATGGTATTAGATCCAAACCAACCTTTTCTGAGCAAGGATCGCAAAACTGATTGCAAAAACCAACCAAACTCTCTCAATCCAAATGAAGATACTTTTGAGTGTAACTTCACAGCTGAAAACTTTGACAGACTTCTGGAAAACGGCGATAAGTAAATTAAAATCAATTACGCCATTAAAAAAAAATGTTTACCTTCTCCCGATTCAGGGTATAGAAAAAGGGTCGGTAGGTAGTTTGGAATCTTTTTCTTCGCAGAAAAGCTCTGCATACTTGTACACGTTAAGGAAACAAAACTTCAGTCACAAATTAAAGGAAATAATATTGTCTGAGGTTAAGGTTAAGAAAGAGTTTTGAGTCAATCATTTTTAGCCATTCGGTGGGGAGAGGGCAAATCGACAATTTTTAAAGGTGTCCTTTTTTTAACATTCATATTCATAAACAAATCAAAGTGAATCTGTAATTGATTTCACAGCTTGTTTCACAGACATTTTTTTTTTAATTTGATGTTAAATTACACATTTTTTTCTGTTTTAAACACAGTTTAACAATAACAGTTATAGCGGAAAATGGAGGATATCGAGAAATAATAGGACCAACTATAGATGATCGTTATAAGGACAAATTCAGCGGGCAAAATTCTACGAAATCTACAATGTTTCGTTTTGACTTTGAGAAGCCCCGTCATTGTCCTCAAAGAGACCCATGTGAGGCAACAGCATTGGATGTAAGGGAAGATATAACCAAGGTTCGTAAAAATGTTTTCCCAAGTTAGACAATTCCTTACATAAATAAATAAATGTATAGAAATAATTTCCTACAAAAATTAACATTTTATTTTGCAAGAGAAACATTTTAACCTTGTAATAGAGCGATTTTTTTTTCTATCTGAGAAACGTCAATCATACTTTTGTTAAAATAAGCAAGCACATTAAATATACATGTATGTACATTGGGGTTAATTCCTCCTCCGTTGCACCTGATCCCACCTCTAATATACTGTGTGTTTGTTTTGCTCACAAATGGTATTGTTTCAATGAATATTTAAGTATGTTTACCATTGAACTGCAAATTTCATATACATCTCTGTTTAAAGACGCTAAATACATTTTATGTTTCGATTCTTTATGATATAAAAATAATATTTTTCTTCTTTATTTAAACTAAAGTCTCCAATAATGCTTTCTTGGAACAAATGGTTCGATGATCTCTCAGGTATGCGAGAATACAAACTGCAGGTTTATTTACTAAAACCGAATACAACATACCTTACTGAATCTAATCCGTGGAACCCATTTCAAGAGATATCCTTCAATGCAACAAAGTCAAGTTATACATATCCGTACACGCCCAAACAGCCTGGGATGTATTCCTTTATTTTAAACGTAATAGACAATGCCAACAATACACAGTACGCTCGCACCTTGGTATTGTATGACCCATCATCAAACATCACACTGTCGAGTTCACCATTCATTGCAACAAGTGCAGAAGAAGAAACGAACTTCAAATGGCAAAATAGTCTTACAAATGGCATTACGATGTCATGGAAAGGACACTTTGAAAACAAATTCCACGATAAAAATAAACTTTTGAATCAAGTTGCACAATATCAAAATTTTGACCACCTGACAAAATATGAAAAAAAAGTTCCACAAGAACTTGACGATATCACAGGGGAAAGAACATTGCGCAGAATACCAAACATTCATGGTATTGTGAAGTTTGAATATTCTTTTAGAAATGGAAATCAAGGTAACTCAGCACCTGATTTTTGGAATACAGTACATGACAATATTTCCGAAAGTCAAACATTCTCTACCGAAAGAAAAGATGGAGACGCAATTTATTTCTGGGTAAAAGCAACTGACGTCATGGGGAATATAAAAGTCGACTTAGCAAAAATATATTTTGATTCAAGTCCACCAGAGAAAATAAAAGATTCAGATGTTAAATTTATTCCCAACTTAAAAACCGCTACGTATGATTTTTCAAGTAGGTAAGGACGTTTTATATATTTATTGTATTAAATAGTATAATATTTTATGTAAATACGAAATACAATGTGTTATTCATTCACTGTGCAATTATTTCCTCAGATTGCAGATCGACACATTTGATAGAGAGAGTGGTATTCATAAAATTCATTTTGAATTACTAGCAAACAGCAGCAACCAAATATTCCATGAAAGTGACATCCCAGGAAATAAAACTGATGTATGATTTATATTTCTTACATTTGCTAACCACAAGGATAAATTTCATTTTTGGATTGAATGTTTCAGAGAGGAATATCTTATTCTTAATTGAAAACCAAGTAATGTACATTCCTTTTTTCTTTTTTTAATATTTTACTTATATATATATATATATATATATATATATATATATATATATATATATATATATATATATATATATATATATTTCTTTGGCAAACTTAAATTACATTGTAACTGTACTGTTCATTTAAGGCACAATCTAGATAACGAAACTTTTATTCAAACACATTGAAACTTTTTGAAAGATTCCATGTAAAAAAAAATGTCAATAACGAAATTTAATTGTATTTAGATGCATGTACGTAGAGAAGGATACAAGCTACCAATGGGAGATTACTATTATTATAGTCACTCTATTGACATAAACAATTGCTGGATGGTTGTGTCAAAGGAAAAATTCAACAAAGAGTTTGTTTTCGTGAATATAACTGTGTATAACAACGCAATGGAAACTATTCAGTATAAAAAAGTGGTATGATAATGCATATACATTCGTACGAAATAACATTTGATGAAATTTCAGCAGTTATTGCATAAAACCTGTTTTGATTGTAATAGATATGAGAATATTTGAATATTCTTTGCAGGTAATAGACATAGCTTCACTTGACGGTATGGATGAGTGTAAGTTTATGTTTCTTTCTTTTCTGTGTGTTTTATCTTCATATATCTATATATAGATATGTATAATCAAGAAGCAACAATATTGATATATCTTAAGTCTGACTTAAAGATCATACATGTACTTAGCTAGATGCTCATGTAGTATTTAACTGTCTTACCATATTTTGATATAAGAACTCATTTTCTAGATACTGGTCCCCTGAATTTGACTGTGATAGCAACGTATGACAACAGCGTTCGTCTGAAATGGACCGTTTCCCCAACTTGTTATGAAAGATCGAAGATTATCCTTCAATACCGTTCATCCAGTGGTCAAACAGAGACCCGATTTATTGACAAGGATGCAAACTGGGTGGATCTGACAGGGCTGAAACCGGAAACAAATTATACATTATCTTTTATTACAGAGTACGGAAATGAAAGAAGTGATCCCGTATTTCTCCATTTCAAAACAATCAAATCACCACTAGCTCTCAGTGTTTCTGCCATAGCTGGAATGGCAGCAGGTAAAAACTCGTTTTGCCTTAAACGGAATGTAATTTCCGATAAATTTACCAAGAGCAAAATAACAATTGAAAATTAATTGATGTATTTTGTTTTTATTAAAATAATTCATATGAAATAGCTTAATCATCTGTCTAAAAACAGAAAAAAAAATGTATTGGAACCTTTTGAAAAAAATAAAATCAGCTTCATTTGACATTTATAGTTTAAATTATTTACATGTAAAAACAATATCAATAATTATGTCAAAAATGGTTTCAGGGTTTTTTATACTTGTTGTCATAATTGTTGTGATGGTTGTCCTTTGGCGACTTGGACGTCTGTCAGTTGTACGAGAAGACATTCGGCGCCGTGCTACTTCAGTTCGAAAGAGTTTTGCTAATCGATTTTCAGGTGTTAGTAATTTTGTTTATAAATCATATTCTTAAAACGATTCCACAATTTAAAATTTACAGTTAAACTCACAGGTCTAGAAAGTAAACATGTGTAATTTCTTATATTTGTTATTGTCTTCTTCAGTCACCTAATATTTCGTTTTCAGAATCCTGGCTATGATATAGATGACATTTATATCTACGGCCAAATGGAATTAAGTAATACCGAAAGTTGGATTTTACCGAGTTCCGATATTGTGCTAGACGTCTTGTTAACGAGTGGAAGATTTGCAGACATATATAAGGCCAGATACCGAGAAAAAAATAACAAAGCTAAACAAATAGTGGTCGCAAAGACTCTGAAAAGTATGTTTACACAATGTAGCATATACTGTATGTGACTGTAGTTTACCCATGATATTTTATGCATTTAAAGATGCAAAATGTAAATGCATTTGAATTAAAAGCAACATGATCATTAAAAAAACAAAGTATTTTCAATTAGCTTCGGTAGAAGAACATTCGGATTTACATATATATCCCACATTTGTTATCTTTATTTAGTTTATTTCATAAAAATATGTAATTATATTGTAAAATATTTTATGAATTGAAACGTATGCAAGATATTTATAAAACTGCCTTTAATTTAGGTGGATATACTGAGGAAAACATGCTGATGATGAGAGCAAAGATGAATTTTTTCGGAAAAGAAGTCGGGGAACACCCAAACATCATTCACTTCATTGGTGCTGTCATTGATAATGATACATGTATGTCACCATTCAGTTATGGAATACAATTGCTATATTATACTTTGTCCTTAAAGATCACAAGAAAATCAATTAACAACAAGGATTGTAATAAAAAAGGGAGATTATTAAAAAATATACATGTATTATTGATTCGAATACCTATGTAGTAAATTCTCATTAAGCAAGACAATTGCAAATAAACTGGACTTTAACACGTTTGATTAAAGAGCTAGTAAGACAAGAAGTAATGGAAATTCCATAAATATACATTTTATTTTATGCGATACAGAGAATTAACTAAAAACTGAGTGTATTTAAAGTTCGTCAGACAATTTTAAATAACTTTTTGAATTAAAAATAAAATCTTAATTTTTTTTAATTGTGGAAGACGGAATTTAAAGCATTGAAATATTTTTCTGAAATATATGTTACAGTTGGACCATACATGGTTTTTGAGTACTGTACAAAAGGTCAGCTTCGAGATTGGTTATTACAACAAAAGAATGTGGCAGAGGATATTATCGAACAGCTATATCGAATTGTTTATGGAATCTCGAAGGGAATGGCCTATCTCGAGACAAAAAAGGTCACAGTTTTCTTTCTTTATAAAAAATATATATGTTTGTTTGAAAGTACAGTGACCTTCAGATATCCGGACGTCAGATATCTTGAAGATTCAGATTCTGGACGATATTTCATCAAAATAATTTTTTTAAAAGTTATATAGTCTTATTTAAATGGCACCTCGGGTATCCGGACGCTTCACAGATGCAGACAAATGGGCTAGGACCCAAAGTGTCCGGATAAATGAGGCTCCACTTCAATAGATTCGATATTTAATTTTGATGTTACATATTCTATAAAATCGACATGGTTTTCAGCTAGTGCACAGGAGACTTGCAGCACGAAATGTTCTACTGAATGATGACATAGAACCCAAAATCTATGGATTTGGACCAGAACCGCAACAACAACAAAATAACGAGGAGGATGGAGGTGGTACATGTGACGAAAAGGTGACATTAAATCAAAATTCCAATAAAATGTTAATAGTGTATTGCGATGATTGTCTACTTTATTTATTTATATAAACATGGAGAAAAAAATGAATAAATATATTCTTAAATATTTCAAAATCTAATATAATCTAGGAGCGAATCCCTGTGAAATGGACAGCACCAGAATGTTTTACTTCAATGAAAAAAGCCAGTACAAAAAGTGACGTGTGGTCTTTTGGGGTTGTTTTATGGGAAGTATTTGCTTTGGGTATGTATAATTTATTTCACAGTTTTGGAAGAAATTAAATAGGATAAACAATAAAATAAATTAAAAAAAATAAGTCAACCATTGTTTTGTATTTAGTGAATGCATATAATAAAGGAATTAGGCAAGATTTGAATTGCCCAAGACCAGAACTTTTTACGAGGCAAATGCGAGGGAAACACTCCTGGTCGTGGGTAAATGCAATCTCGATAACTTTCTCGATGTTATGGTTTTCAACTGTTGATTGATTGATTGTATATTGTTTAACGTCCCTCTCGAGAATATTTCACTCATATGGAGACGTCACCGTATGCCGATGAAGGGCTTCAAATTTTGACTTTTACTCTGCACTCAGGGCCATTGAGCAGTGAGGGATCTTTATCGTGCCAACGCCTGCCGCTGACACGGGGCCTCGGTTTTTAAGGGCTCATCCGAAGGACCCGCAGCTTTCACTTCAAAGTGCCGAGCGCAAGGCGAAGGAACAGTTGCTACCCATTTTATCGACTGGGTCAGTCGAGGCCGAGATACGAACTCACGACCTCCCGATCACGGAGCGAGCGTTTTCAACAGTTAATTAAATTAATAAATCAAAGTACTGAAAGTACTGAAAAGCGGTTAGCATGCTTTCATGGAATATGACTGTACAGTGTAGAATAGCAGAAAATGCACAGAGTGATGATATTTAAGTAAGTAGTATGCATATCTTTGTCCAATGTCATCAGCGAAGAAGCAGACACACTGACTTTTGTAGTACTTAACTAAATGGAAAAACCAATAACATCCCAGACTGATATCACAAATGTATGTTTCTAAATATCAACCTGAGATTTTCAGTTTGAAAGACAGGAAGTTCAATTTCAAAAATTTCTTTCTAATTGTCTCCATTGGCGGTGTCCAAAAGTGCTCTGAACGAAAAAAAAAATATGTTGATGTTGCAAATTTAATTGTCTTTCATGCTCTATTGATTCTGAAATTAGGTAACTGTAAAGGCTACTATAGCAAACAACTCAAAAAGAATAAAATGATAATTCAAATTCTTTATATTAATTTATTTGGAGTACTGTACATAGATCTTTAGCTGGCTAGTCTGAGAAAAACGGATGGACGAGAATTTGTAAATCAATTTGATTTCAGAGAGCTTCAGTTTCGTAGGCTCACTGCAGGTCAGCAGGTGTGACCTGTCATTGGGGATGCTTACTTCTCCTAGGCACCGGAATTTTCAAGGATCCGTTTTTCTTTTGAGACCGATCACTGCTCATTCTGTATTTTGATACAGATACTGAGTACATCTGTTTATTAATATTATGAACTATTTCTCTCACAGGAAGAAAGACAAGTAAACAAGATAATAAAGTTTTAAGAAATGTACACTATTTACTTTTAATACAATTAAATGTTCGAATAAGTAAATGGTATATGACAATTATGTAAAAAAGAGTCTTGCAAGCACGATATATATAAACGAATATATACTGAGTATTTGGCAAATATTTTTTTTAAAAATGTGATCGTTTATAATCGTTTGTAATAATTAGACTGAGTACAGAATTTATCCCTGGAAACAAAGCTTTCATCACCTTTAAATAATTTCAATTGAGAAAACAAACGTTTCATTATATTGGAAGTGATCCATAACTGTACAACTTACAGATGTATTCAGTTTTTTTTTTATACAAAGGCTTTCTTCATGTACTAGTATTACTTAAGTTAATTAAAGGGATGCCTTAATATTTTGGCAAGGAAAATGAAACTCGATCGAGAGATTCTCCGATGTTTTGCAGTCTGTAATAACCTTCAACCCCTTTAGCCAGTAATTAACCAGTCCTCCCTGTGCCAGTAGCATAACTCGGTCAAATATTTATTTGACCGAGGGGTGCCTTATGATTAATCACAGGCACCTGAATTTTTATCAGTAAGTCTCTAAATTAGCCAAATATCGAAACATTCTAACCCCTCTATATACAGTTTAAATACACAAGGTGTGCAATGCCAATTTTGACCCCCTGTTCGATTCAGGCTTCAATTTAACACATAAATCAGATATGCCTACTGGTTTTCGTGTAGCACTGGGTTCAAATATGATATTTCTCGCTATATATTTCTTCCTTAAGTTTAAATCCAACGCGTTGATAATGTTATCAGCTAAACTTCATGCTGACTTCGAATTTCGTCACAGGGCCCGATCGCCATCAGCTGACGTCACGGAAATTTAATCTCGACACCAAATGCTCCTATACATAAACTTTTTAAATGCAACAATTATAAATTTATTTCATTGACAAACAAAATCAGACAAAAAATTAAAAACCGAAAGATTATGTTGTTTTGATAGTCTTGATTTTATTTAACATGTTATATGTGTTAGAAACAAATCATAGGTAAAGGCTTTGTTGAAGTTTCCGTTGTCGATAGGTAGCGCTTAGGTGTCGATACATGCCATAAAGCGGTTAGCCAAGCTAACCGCTTAAAAATGAAAGGAAAAATTTATATGAATACGGATAACTATGAATTAGTTTTGAGAGCGGGGATAAGATCACTTGCACTGACTAACGCAAGGGGGTTAGTCCATTCACAACGACTTCCAGAAAATCATTCATGCATATTTTCATATCTAACAATCCAATTTCATGCACAGAAAAATATTTAGAGAAATAATGTTTTATTAATATATTGCATGTAACATTCAACTGAAAAAATTAAGGAATAAATCTAATAGTCAAAAAGTATTTGTTCATTTGAAATAAATGTATTTGCATCTTTTGTAGAAACATTGTCGATGCTTATTTGTAATCTAAGACTTGTTTTGATATGTATTTACCACATGTAGGTGAAACTCCTTATCCTGGAATACGAGGTAGAGATGTTCAAACCCAGGTCAATAATGGTCATAGGATGGATAGACCAGAGTTTGCTAATAATTTGTAAGTCAATTTTAAATAATCAGACCACAAAAATTAATTATAATTTCTTGTTCTTCGGAGGGTGGTCAACATTATCGCTACATCGCCAAAAAATTTCAACTCATTACCGCTACATTTGTTTTTCAAATTTTCGACCGATCATGACAGCTATATGTTTTCTTTTTTTTGCTCGAAAATAATTCATTACCTCTACATAATGAATTAGCCAAAAACAACACATTATCGGTACTGCTACATTTCGAATCAGCCAGGTATGGTACAAAATATGATCATATGTTGTTTCAAGTATTTAAATACCTAGTTCATGATTTTTGTATGAGATATACGTGCCATTCTACATTTTTGGAGGAGCATGTGATGTAGGATTTTAAAATAAAATGACATTCAAAGCTTTAATTTTTTTTAGATTCTTTATAAAATTAAATAGATTTTAAATAAAGCATTAATTCTATAAAAAAAAAAAGTCTCCTACTTTCAACTCCCCGTGGTGAGCGAGGGTAAAAATGTCTTTTGCATTTATATATGTTGTACTTTAAATCAATCTGTACACGCAAAAGTGGCTACCTAACGAAAGAGGCAATGTAGCGGTTATGTATACTTTTATATATATTGCGATAATGTAACGTTTTTGTAGCGATAATGACTATGTAGCGGTAATGAAAACTTCGAAAATGTATCGGTAATGGCACGCACCCTCGTCTGACATTTGTTTTCAAAAAAGTACGAGCGGGCAAGCGGCTAGTTAATAATACTATTATTACTTTTTTGTATGCAAATTTTAAGGCAGAGCGCAAAAAAAAAAAAAAAAAAAAGTGAGCGGACAATTATGTGTTTTTTTCTGATTTGCGTACGCAGAATCAAATTACATAACAAGAGCGGAAATGGAACAGACAATAGCACGGAATATCTGTGTGCGGGAAATTGAAAACAATATTGTTTGTATAGCTTTGTCTAAATACGAGCATGTGGGTCCGACCAACAAAAAAAAATATCGGTGTGGCCACAGCGTTTTTCATTCAATTTAATAATGATTAACTTCCTTTTATTATTCCCAAATTAAATGTATTTACTGTATAAATGAAAACGAACCATTATGAAAATTTATCAATTCTAAATAATATAAAATTACCGCTGACATACTTTTGTATGGGATTTATTATTGCTAAGTACACGGTCATACATGTTCTGTTTCTTTAGCACAACTTCTTAGATATATTTTTTACAACGAATTACAACAATTCACAGTTTTTAAATTCAGATAAAAGTAGAAATATGATTCGACAAAATTATCATCAGCGGAGAAGAAAACGCACAGTATTTCATAAATTTCGGGATACATTAAAAAAAGTGATATGTTTATGTATGCATTCTATATGTAATATACATATGTATAAGCACACTTGATAGTTGAAATAAAAGACTTTTTAATTTTTTTTTTAAAGCTACTATGGAATTATGAAGAGATGCTGGAACACGAAACCAAGAAGAGGGCCAAGTTTTAAAGAAATATCAACAGATATTGGAAAGACCTTCAATGTGGCTCCCTCTGACGAGCACTACTATTACTGTGAAAAATGAAATCATTCATGAAATTAATTATCTAGACTGCGTTATATTTCTGATTCAGGATAGTTTTGTTCTAGTGAAAACTTACAGTGCATTTCACTTATTACAGACTTACTGTAAAACTATAAAATTCATTTTATATGTATGAAAAATTAAATGTCTACTTTGCGTTATATTACTGATTCAGGTTAATTTTGTTTACTGAAAAATTACAGTGCATTTTTACAAATTTCAGACTTGATGTAAAAGTATAACATCCATTTTTTAAAGAAATATATATATTTGCTAATTGTCTATTTAACGTCTGTTATTTAAAGTAAATTGTAATGATTAGCATTTAACTTTCATTAAATTGCATGCATGAGATACCGTAGTCTTTTTTGATTTTAGCCTACCTAAGTTACTAAAGTGAGCCTATCCGATCAGTATCTGTCTGTCGCCCGTCTATCACATACGGTGTATCATTTACTTTCACATTTCCGAAGAGAATCACCGGAGGAATTCGATAAAACGATCCGAAATTCTTTTAATTATTTTCAAAAAAATGGTTATCATCTATTATGTGTATGCCATTGCGATAAAGCGATTCAATTAGCCACCTCGATTGTTAAACACGTCAAACTTGTACACATAAACACGGTAAGATTAATTGCATACAGTGTACATTCTCACGCTAATCATTGAATAATCGCACTAAACAAAGGGTTTACATTGGTATTTATAGCTTATCTTAAATATGTAAGTAATATTTTGTGTAATAATATGCATTTATAACTGTGAAAAGTATACTTGATATGTTTTTCACAACACATAAATTATGTCATTTTTACCAAATTAAGGTCATGTGGACAAGTTTGTTAAGATCAGTGATTTGTTTAAAACCTGTTTTCAGAGATTTAACTAGCAACTATTTTTAATGCAGAGATAAATTGTTTGTTATGATAATACAGTTTGAAAATTAAAATTGCAAAGTATATGATTTTCTTGTTTAATAAGGAATATATACTTTTGATATTTGTGTGACGTCACAGTAAATATTTCCTTCATAAATTAGACTCTACCCCCTTGACAATCCTTAATGCTGCACAAAGATAAAAGGAGTTTTCCACTTAAGTATAGCAGCGTGGTTCCTTTTTTGCCCTTATTTTACAGAATATACATGAGGATACGGTATTATTTTTAGTTTCATTGTATATAAAAGTATGTGTAATTAACATTTTGTACAATCATTATTAAAAACTTGGAATATCAAGAAATACAAGCCGATTTCCAACACCTACTGAACACACAAATTCCGGAACATTTTCTTTCGAACAGAGTGCGGTTCCTCTATTACATACAAATGGGCGGAGCATTTACATTAGGTATTATATAAAGGAAGACACTGATGAACTGTAGCGAGAGATAAGAAATAATAAACAGTATACGGTGGGTAATAATAATCTTCAATACGTTTGAATTTTATTTTGCATCATTCGTATTCTTTTGAACTTGGGATGGGTGGGAGTCTTTTTTAGTTATTGAGGTATTTTTGTCGGAGTTTTGAAAATCCCCTTAATCACAGTATCTTTTTTTTAAATATATCATTGTTGAATAAAATGTCAAGATATTTTACCCAATATAATAATTTTCTTTTATATGATTGTTTGAAAAGCACAAGCTATTGCATGATAATTAACGGTAAATACACACAGACATACACTCCCATTCATGATGGGAGGCTTAAAATAAAACAAGAGACATGAATTTGATAAAGCAAAAGATCAAGATCGAGGAAATCCTTCTCCAAACTTGAAAACGATTGATGTAGAATTAGGAGTTAAAAAAATACTCATTTTTTATTTGAAAAATTAAACATTAACATTAATGTCTGTCTATTCATATTGTAACAGCGTAAAGACGTATGAAAGTTTTTTTTTTTTGGGGGGGGGGGGAGAACTTAAGATTTATCCCTGAAAAAAAGGGTCAACCCTCCCCAGATACTATCTGCCCGACATGTACATATATTTCTTAACTTCGCTGTAAATTCTGCAATGAATATTCCGATTTAGTTATCGTTTATTAATACATTCGGAGTTTTTCCGAGTTTACATTTTATATGCATGCAGCTAGCATCACTGACAAGAGTATGTGAGTGCGTTTGTTTAGACTGATTAAATGTGAAAAAAATATTAAGTCTTTGGTATTTTCTGCTTTTCTTTTTCGCAAGAAATTGATTTAATGTGTATTTATATACATCTACCCGTGTGCTTTTTGCAATGAACAGGAATATTGCGATTACGTGCATGAGAATTAAAAAAATGTCCCGGAAAATCGTCGAAGTTTAACATAAGTGATATTCATCGATGTCTATAGAGAGCCCTTTTTTATTTAAAAAAATGAAGGCTGGTGTCTGCACTTTTCAAATACGAGCTACATGTGTCGCTTCCTACAGAAAACAAGCTTTCCAAAGGTATTCACCTGTGGCGGAATGGAATCACGTGACTTATTATCTATTCTTAGCAGGTCAACAAGAGGTTAATCCTGTGTAAATGTACTCACGGAACAGATTCAAAATCATGATACTTTTAAGTAGAAGACATAGAGCGCAATGTTGTTCAACAAATATATTTTCACACAATCTGTATAAATATGATGTACACATTATATTTTGATGTCGACTTTGAACAAAGCTGCGCTCGATGTTTACGAAAGGCGTGAAGTGGGTATCTGTCACAAATTTCTTTTGATATTCATGAAAATCAACAACAGACAGATTTGACGTCATCGCTAGAAATTTTTTTGCTTATCGATTCCGCATATAAAGCAAGTATAGATAAGAGATATCTAGCTTAAACCATTGTATTTTTAATCAAAGGGCGACAACCAAATTGTAAGCCTGCATCTCATTGTCATCTGAAGGGTGAGAACAGCTGCACCGTGCATATTACGAATTGTCTCACATAACGTGACATACTGTAGATCTAAACCAATTAGATTGACTGTATAGTTCGTCGGATAATAATATGTAATAGTTGTTTATCAAATTTCAAAAAAGTTTTTTTTCTGGGATTTTCCTGTTCTGAAGGACAAGGGAAAGAAACACGGCAGAAAAATGAATTGTCGAGTGTCTTGATTTACAAAAAAATTCATAAAAATAAACCAATATTGCAAATGAGAAATTATCAAGACTTAAAAATAATTTAAAATACTGTAGATCATTTAATTTTAGCGACACCTTATTTTCACGAGATAGTCTTTATTAGCGAAACAAAATTTTCACGAATTGTGGTCAATGCTCTTTATAATCTCAAGGAATTCTGTTACACGCGAGGATGAAATTTTCGCGATGATACCATCGGGTAACAATGCGAAAATAAAGTCATCGCTAATAAAAAGTGATTTACAATAATCAGGTATATGTATATTTATTTAACAAAGAACATTTTTTACATACAAATCTGAATACATTGAAACGTTCAGCACGATACAACATTTTTGCCAAAATAACGAAGGACGTTTAAACATTTTTTTTTTTCAACTTACGAAAGTAAAACATTCTGATAAGAAAAACAAATATTCCATACTGTATGTGATTATTTTTCTATTTAAGTATAGATGATACAAACGAAAATTTGATGCCTGGAATGATGTATATATTTTTTGACCGATTTTGAATAGAAATGACATAAATAAGACTCCTTACAATTTAAAGAGATCATAAGTTTACTTTGGTGCTTAAAAATGCGAGGTTATTTTATTTTCAATGTATTCTGATGCAAAAATTTACATACATCTTTATCAATATGAAAAAAATCTTTACAATTTTTTCCTACATTACCTGGTAATCATTCAGTTCAATTATTTGAATATAAATCTTTTAGAAATATTGCTGATTTCTGGGGGAAACTTTTTTTTACCCTTTAAATATCGCCTTATACTCAGGAAGGCCTTTTCTTTCTTTTTTGGGAATGGAGGTGTAGGGGGAGGGGACAGTGGTCATTTTTCAACCGATAGTAGTTTGTAATTCTAAAGATGACCCGCCTCAAAAAGAAATTGAGTAAGAAATATGATTTATGCAAATCGCCTCTACTTTTTCTACATTTATTTTTCTATTCTTCAAAATATACTTGCACATGTAATACACGTATTCCAGTGAATCAATTTATATATCATACACTGTTCATAAATGTACATGTGTAAGCATCGCCATCACGTTCTTTGTTTTTCCCTTAAAATATACTTATTCATATAGTAATATAATATCAAGATAAATAAAAAAAAGTACCATGTATTCATATTTGCTACACTATAAAACTGTCAATTTTTTTTTTTATAAAAAAATATTCTTACAAAATAATCTTCCCGAACTCTCCTCGCCCCAACCCCATCTCGAAATTGCTGGCGCTTTTTTTTAATTAAGCGAGTTTTTGATGGGGATTTGTAAATTCCCTTCCCCAATGCAGAGATTTTAATTTCCCCCATTAGTCCCCTACCTGTGAAACTGGAGGGGACTAGAGGTTTCCTCTGAGCCTGTCCGTCCGAACGTCTGTCCCCATGTCTGTCTGTCAGTCTGTCCGACTTGGCATTCAGCACTTTTTTCTAAACGCTTGCAGATATTAAACTGAATTTTGGCATGTGAGTGTAACTTGATGAGTTACAAATCAAGTTTGAATTTCATTTTGCTTCATTGATTTTTGACAGAATTATGGCATTTTTAATTTTTCGTAATGGTTCAAGATCGGGTTTCTGCTGCGCTAAATTCCGAAGGTCAACATGGTAAATATAAAGCGAGAAAAAGACGATGAAAATGAGTTGAATTTTTGTCTTTGTGTGGAATAATTTTTTTTTAGGATAAAGGGATCCATGGCCTTAAAAATTTTAACTTTAACCTTGGTCATAAATTTGCATATTATAAAATGACATCCAAAAAAAAAAAAAATTCAGGCGCACCGGGTACATATGAAGTTTTTAAAATTATGGGTAATTAAAAATTACATATTATGGAAAAAAAACGTTAAAGCACTTCTTCAGAGCAATATAAAAGTCTGTTTTGGATTTCTAAAGAAAGATAAAGTACGTGTGCGAGAGCTGTCCCAGTAAAAACGCGAACGTTTTTAATATCTTGTGTATCACTAAAACATGCAAGATTATATTTTTTTAATTTATCTTTTTTGTTTCTGATTACGAAAATAATTTGCACGTTTTTTCACATGTAATACAAAAACTGATGAGGAAAGATCCAACGATTTTGTTTCAGGAACACTGGGTACAAATGAATTTTTGGTGTTTTACCTATAAGTTAAAAAAATGATAAAATTAAATCATACAGATAAACGTTTAAGCACTTTTTTAATATAAAATTTTATATTGGATTTCTAAAGAAATATATAATATAATACATGAACAAGGATTGTCCCAGCAAAATGCCTCATGATCATAATTTCTAGAAAAAATGCAGTAAAATTTTAATAACATGTTATCTCTTGTTCCATCACCCATGGCAACTCCATAAAATTTAAATAAAATATTTCATTTTTTTATATATGTTTTTATTTGTTTATATGCAATCATATATACTTAAACATCTTTTTTAGGCATTACGATTTCTTTATATCAAAAGGTAAATCTTGTGTGCCTTAGTTGCTCAGCTATGTTAAGGACTGATATTGAAAATGTGACCTTAGCATTGTTTTAATATGTAATTTTTTGACATACGATATTTTAGAAATAAAAGTGGCACCGATTATAAAGTTTTGTAACCACTACTGGACGGAAAAAGTGCTGAGAATCCCAAATTTTACTGATAAAGTTTAATAATTACTGATACTGTGCTGTTCTTGCTGATAAATACTGTTATTTACTGTTATTATTACTGTTGTTGCTGATATTTTTTGTTGTTTCTGATAAATACTGATAATTACTGTTGCCTTTTACTG